CAGTCATCCAAGAGAACCACTAGGGATTACTCTGTCAATAGCCCGCGCAGTAAGAAGAGTGTTTCCATTGATGAGTGCCTCAACGACATCACTGACCTCATTAAAGACCATAAGATCCAGAAAGCCCGCACAAACAAGCAAGAAGAGGAGATGGACAAAGTGGTGAAGATTATAAAAGAAGATGGTGTGGAAGAGATTGATGATGTTTATACTCAGGCTTTAATAATTTGCAAGGACACACTGGACCGTAGAAACTTCCTCAGCATGGAAACCAAAGAGGGACGCCTCAATTTTCTGAAGATCTGCTGGGATGATAGGAGATCCAGAGTGAAGTAGATGTTAACCGAAACAGCCCTCCTACTGCGGCAGTATATGTTGTTTATATTCCTACTGTGTTATGGACAACTCATGAATATACTGCTGTAATGAATTGTTGTAATTCGACCTTAAGAATTCGAATGAGTTGTTGTAATTACTGTAAATTGGAGCCAGATGTAGGAGAGGAACTTGCCATTGGAGCCAGATGTAGGAGAGGAACTCGCCACCGGAGCCAAGGCTCTTGGCGTGCAAGTACCCTCGGCTCCTACTGGCTGAAAAGCACTGCATCTCAACCCTGCAGCTCCTCTTAGTGCCATCTTTGCTGTATTGTTTCCTAATGTTTTATCAGATGGCCTGATTTTCATTGCAAAACTATGTTGATTTGGTACAATCTTGTTTTATTAATGAAGTCTCATTGAGAAATGAGAATTCTACCCCTTGCTCCCAAACAATACCTTATGGTTTGTACAGATGTTCAAGATAAAGGATGCATTGATTGCTCTTGTTACAACATCTTTACATACAAGACTTCATTCAGTTAGAAACTATGGAGCAAGGTAAGGAACACACTGACGTGAGAATGAGATGCATCCAGATGCAGCAGGTTTGACTTGGTGGCACATTTGAATGGTTCACTGCTGTTGTAATGAAGTATTATTTCAATAGCCTTGGAAGCACATTTGAGTGAGATGTAATGAAATGGTATTAGAATTGGTTGGTACTAATTTGTATGTGTTAATGTTGTTATTTGTTGACGGACATGCATTTGAATGGGTCTGAGAGTTGGCGCCAACTATGGTTCATTGGCGCCATAATTTGATTTGAATCCAGTTCATTCAAATCAAATTGCAGCAACAGCTGGCTGGGCTGGCTTGTGCTGGGCTGATTCAAATCAGCTGATTGACCAGCCAAGCCAGAACAGCCAGCCGATCCAGAACAGCCGAACAGGCCCAATGGTCTGATATCTTGGTCGCCCCAAAATAGTTGTACATTTCACTTCTTATTAAAATTATTTTTCTAAAAAAATACCGAGTCTGATTAGTTGTCTACACAACCTCTTATCTAAGTTCACATAGTATAATTTGCTCCTATTTGATTACCTGCACAGGTTCTTATACAGGCTAGCACTCTCTCAAATCATCTTCGGCCTGCATCCGTGTACATGCCCAAATTTCATGTCTCCAACCATATGCATGCTTCGGCAGTTCGGCTTGCACTTGCATCCAATCTACAGCTTCTGCACCCATTAATTGTGCAAAGATTTGTACCTATTCTGCAGGTCGAGCCACCGATGCCGTCACTAGCTCGCCACCGCCTCAGCTCCTTCAGCACGAGTTGATTCAAGATAGGTCCCTCATGCCTTGGATTCAACACTCGCAACCAAGAGATCCATATAATTAGTTCACCTAGAAATCATCCCCAGTGGCCTAGATGATCAACCTTCGCTACATCACATGCACATATCATCTCTTCTCTATGGTCTTTATGTCTTACTCAACTTAGCTTATGGACTAATCACCTGTCCATTTCACATGAAACTTTATTAGTCCATCTAAGGTTGTCGCTCAATTATCAAAGTCAAACTAAAACTAATCACCCTTAATGTAATGCAATTTTGTGCCAGCAACCAACCGGATCAATCTGAGCTATCTAGTGCTAGTTTCTACAAGTATGCATCACATCCATTTAGGTCAAGCAACATGTTTTCATACCCTCTTTATAGTAGGGCCAAAGGAGAAAATAATAACATAAACTACTCTAGGTGTCTGTCAACGCCAAATAACACTTAGAATTAGCTCGTTCTTGGCCTTCACCATATCTTTTAAAAAATGATCTAAGGCTATCATTAGGGAGCATGAAAACCATAGGAGCCCAGTTAATATGCATTATTGTGACCTCACTAAGCAATACCGCTACATAACATATGTTAGTAACAATGATTATGTCATCATTAATCACCAATTAGGGATCTAGATGCTTTCAGACTCCTTTTCATTTCTTACAATGATGTTTTATTTCCTATTCTTTGGCCTCAAATTTTTTTCTTAGGGATTGATTGAGCAATTTCTTTTGTTTAATATCAATATTCTTCTTTCCATATTACTGTTCAACTATGACGGTAGGCTTTTGAACTCATTGTTTTAATCTAGATTGTTGGAATATCATGAATCAAACGGTATATATTTTTTCGAATAATCTCATAATTTCTAGACCCTTTAATAAAATGTGGGGATTTTTTTTCTCGACCAATTCGGGGGAGCAAAGCTCCACCTACTTCATTGAGCGAAGGAGCTGCTAGAAGCAGCTCGAAACTTTACAAGGGTGCTGCCCCCGACATACCAGGGGAAAGATATACAGAGGAGGCGGGGGATAGAGGAATTACGATTATTGAGATTTGAAGCATAGTGTTGTATTTGATATGAACTCATTGTTTTAATCTAGATCGTTGGAATATCATGAATCCAATGGTATATATTTTTTCTTTTTCAATTAATCTCATAATTTCTAGACCCTTTCATTGAATGTGGGGGTCGTTTTAACATTGTTGTATATATATAACTAGAAGCGTTCCCTTTTTATTACTCTGGTATCAAGATAGAATATAAATGGATTTAGACATTAACCACTGAAAATAGGAGTATGATATTGGTAATGTAGAAACACTTATGAACTTGTGATGTAATATGATGAATTACCACAATCATAGAGAATGTATCTCGCTAGATGGTAGATGGGCAAGATGAAGATGGTTCTAAGCGTTGTGGTAGGGAGTGAGAAGGGGGGAATAGTGGCGATGTGGCGGTTTGGAGCATCGAAAGAATGCAAGGGGGCATAGGAGGAGAGCACCAAGCACATGCAACAGGAGTCAATAAATGGAGTCGAAGGGCGGCGACGTGGAGCCTTTGGGCGACAAGCGGCGGTGCTTTCTTTTCCTTCTTTCCGTGGTCGGGGCGTTTCTCAAGACAGAACAACACAAGAAGTGCGGAGGTGGCAGCGTGAGTAATGGTTTTTCTTTTTTCATCTGCTACTGAACAATGGGGTCAGGGGTTCATTCGGACCTGTAATGTGTGGGGACCTATAAATTAAGAAATAGATTATGAATGGATGGATTTGGTTGACAAATCGATTAAGCGGTGTGGAATCGGATACTCTCTAGTGGGGTTTTATTTTATAAGAGATAGAGATACATAGATAGATAAATAAATGCTACAAGTAGAATAAATTCCTTGAGGGGTAATAAAATGTCCTAGCCCATTTAGGTTCTGTTTAGAATGAAATAATTGAAAACAGAGAAATAAAGAAGAAAAGAGGACTAGAATGAGTGTAGTGGTAAAATCATAGTTATTAGAATCGGATCGGACCATGGTCGGACCGATAAAACACCAAACAAGGGACTGCACTGGTTCGATTAAGCAATTAAAAAACTATTGAACCGGTCTAAAACTATTGAACCGACTTAAGGAACCAAAAAATTCTTTGTTCAAAATAGCAAACTGCAAAAACCTTTTTTGAAGGATAATTCCTCAACAGTAATTTACTTAATACCTATTACATTGTATTAATATAATTTTATGAATAAATAAATAACTAAAACAAGTTATGCACCGTGTGGATTAGGTCGGAGTGTTGCGTCACTTGAGCGGCTGCGCCTGTGCTTGTTCGTACCGACCTAGATTATCTCCAACAACAATACATAAAATACAAGACATATTCGACCTTTGGATAGCGCTACAGACAAAGGGTTAAATACTCATTCGACATCTTCTCCGACAATAGGATCCAAAAGAGAATCCTTTCTGAAAATGAGTTTCTAAGAGAGAGGATGCTCATATTTGGGTTGTGCCTCTCAGGCAACCCAAAATGGGTCTCCCGTATATGTACTATGTTGGAGGCTGATTTTGAGTCTCTTCCTACCCATTTTGGGTTTGAGTGTCCATATAAGTTACTTGTTAGAGACAGTCGCATCATCTTTCTTGGAAACCTATTTTTATAAAGGATTCTCTTTTAGATCCTGTTGTTGGAGAAGATGTCGAATGGGTATTTAACACTTTGCCTGTAGCACTACCCAAAGATCGAATGGGCCTTGTATTTAGATACTGTTGTTGGAGATAGTCTGGGTCGGTATGAACACGCACAGGCGCAGCCGCTCAAGTGACGCAACACTCCGACCTAATCCTCACACGGTGCATAACTTGTTTTAGTTATTTATTTATTCATAAAATTATATTAATACAATGTAATAGGTATTAAGTAAATTACTGTTGAGGAATTATCCTTCAAAAAAGGTTTTTGCAGTCAAAGCTTGTACAACTATGCGTGTGGCCAGGGATGCCGCAGCGGCTGCCGCCCATTCTGTCTCCTTGTTCTTGCGCGCATCTGAATTACTCGATACTAATTGTACTACTTGCCCGCCATGACATTCTCAGCCATCAACCATTGATTAATCCCAAATCAGTTTGTCCATTTGCTGCACGCATGACTCGACATGGGTCCTAGTACTAATGCTGTGTCGCACTGTCGCTGCAGCCTATAAGAACACACATGGCTCGTTGACACGTCGCTTCATCCAACAGGCAAGCACTACTCTCTCAGTCGCTCTAGCTCTAGCTTAGCAGCTCGCACTTGACATCTGCCACGTCTCCACCATCGATCGATCGAGTTCGTAGCTCAGCGAGTTATTCATGGCAGGAGGCAAGCTGCAGGACAGGTTGCAGGCGGAGGAGGACGTGCGTGTGGGCGTGGACCGTTTCCCCGAGCGGCAGCCCATCGGCACGGCGGCGGACGAGCTGGGCCGCGACTACAGCGAGCCTCCGCCGGCGCCGCTGTTCGAGGCGTCGGAGCTCTCGTCGTGGTCCTTCTACCGCGCCGGCATCGCCGAGTTCGTGGCCACGTTCCTCTTCCTCTACGTGACGGTGCTGACGGTGATGGGCGTGAGCAAGTCGTCCCCCTCCAAGTGCGGCACCGTGGGCATCCAGGGCATCGCGTGGGCGTTCGGCGGCATGATCTTCGCGCTCGTCTACTGCACCGCGGGCGTCTCAGGGGGCCACATCAACCCGGCCGTCACCTTCGGGCTCCTCCTGGCCAGGAAGCTGTCGCTGACGCGGGCCGTCTACTACGTGGTGATGCAGTGCCTGGGCGCCGTCTGCGGCGCCGGCATCGTGAAGGCGTTGGTCGGGCGCGCGCTGTACGAGTCCGCGGGCGGCGGCGCCAATGCCGTCGGCCCCGGGTACACCAAGGGCGACGGCCTCGGCGCCGAGATCGTCGGCACGTTCGTGCTCGTGTACACCGTCTTCTCCGCCACCGACGCCAAGCGCAGCGCGAGGGACTCCCACGTCCCCGTGCTGGCCCCGCTGCCCATCGGCTTCGCCGTCTTCCTGGTGCACCTCGCCACCATCCCGATCACCGGCACCGGGATCAACCCCGCCAGGAGCCTCGGCGCCGCCATCATCTACGACAGCCCGCACGGGTGGCACGGCCACGTAAGTTTGCACAGCTACCGTAGACATACACATACTGATGGTGCCTATATAGACTAATCAAAATTATTATCTTCTGACGACGATTGCAATTGCAATGCTTGCATTGGATTGCATGGTGACAGTGGATCTTCTGGGTGGGCCCGTTCACCGGAGCGGCGCTTGCGGCGGTGTACCACCAGGTCGTCATCAGGGCCATCCCCTTCAAGTCCAGCGCTCCCTACTAGTGTACCTTGTTGCTTGCCGGCATACACGGATTCTGCTGCTACATCGGCCGCTCAATGGATCATCACTCCGAATGTATGATGTGTGTGTAACCGAACTTGCTCGAATGTGTGGTTAATTTTCGTTTTTACGTGTTTTTTTTTACGAAACTTCGTTTTTACGTGTTTGCAACCATGGAATGGAATCTGTCATCAATGTACAAATCAGCTGCATGGCTGTGTCCCAATGGTAACAATGCTAATAATAATAAGGCCACAATATATCAAGGCCCATTTACTATGAACATTCACCACTTGTGAACTTGTGAATTGTGATGGGCCGTGGAGTACTTGACACAATTCTATGCTATCCCTTGCATCAGAATTCACAACGGAGGTCCCAACCCCACGGCTCAGCGACTCACTGGTTCCCTCCATTTCGGTGAACCAAAGTCCAAAACCCACCGGAACCGAACACAGCTACTCCGTTCCGGTAGACCGCACGAATCGCAAAGCAGGACTCCGAGGAACTGGAACCGTCGATGGCGCAAGATGCGCCTTCTGGAACCTTCTGTCCCCTCGGCCATCCCCTCGCCCAAGAAAGCCCCCAGCATTTAAACCCCCACGCACTTCCGTCGCTGTCAAGGCATTTCTCTCGCAGCGCACCGCTAGAATCCAAAACCAAAACACCAATCGCAGAGAGGAGAGAGAGAAAGGGGTCCATCCATGGCTTCCGCCGTCGCTTCCGTGGAGGTCCCGCCGAAGCCCGTCTTCCTCATGGACATCCTCGCCTCACCGTCCGCCTGCGGGAAGACCGACGCCTCGGCCCGCCACGTCTTCAGCACCGGAGGCGCTCCGCCACGCTCCTCCTCCGACGGCGTCAAGGACTCCACCGGCAAGGATGCCGCCGCCGACGCCGCACCGCCCCGTGAGCGCGACCTCTCCATCCCCAAGCTCTTCACCGGAGGTACGTACCGCCGCCTCGCGTTGGCCGTTTTCCATCCCCTTATTTCCTCGAACCTGGTTAGCGAAGTGAAAGACGGAGAGGGAGCACTGATGAGTTGGGGTTTTCTGCAGGCGTGCTGGACCTGTTCCCCGAGGCTGCGATGCGGGACCTGCTGCTGGCTCTGGCGGAGGACGGCGGCGCGGCGTCGGCGTCCATGACCGGCTTCTCCCCGCGCGGGTGGTGGGTCTCCAAGGAGGTTGGCGACGCGGTGCAGCTGAAGGTGGCGATGCCGGGGCTGGGGAAGGAGCACGTGAAGATGCGGGCGGAGAAGAACGTCCTGGTGATCAAGGGGGAGGGCGACAAGGACTCCGAGGGTGACGACGACAAGGTCACGGCACGGTACACCTACCGCATCGGGCTCTCCTCCCAGGCTTTCAAGATGGACCAGATCAAGGCGGAGATGAAGAACGGCGTGCTCATGGTGACCGTGCCCAAGATCAAGGACGAGGAGCGCAAGGACGTGTTCGAGATCAAGATCGAGTAGGGAGTGGGGATCGGATGGGTCCTCCCCAGGTCTCCTGGTTGCAGTCCATATCGTAGTTGCAATGAGCTAGCCGTACTAGTAGTAGTTTTAGTTACTGGAGTAGTAGTCGTTTCTGATGCAGAGCAGCAGTGGCTGCGAACGAGAGGGCTTTTTGGTGGTGGTGGTGTCTCTTGCCTGATGTGAGGCAGCCATGTTTACCTTTCTGTTCGTCTTGCAAAGTTTAGTTTCCTGTATGGCGATGATCTCGTGATGAACTTCAAATGGTAATGGCATCTGCAGTTAATGATCAACATCTATTAAGCTTCCTGTGATCCTGTTCTTGTGTATTACTCTATATACTATCTTTTGTCTTTATGAATGTTGGCTAGATCCGAACTGATGATCTTTCTGAGACGTCGTTTGCTCCAAAGCAACCCCACAGTTTCTTGGATCGGTGACGACTGATAATCTCGTTTCTGAACATGAGTACTAGCAGTGAAATACCTAGTTAGTGATGATCGGGATGTATTTGTATTTCTGGTGTCTCTTCTGTGTGCTCTTGTCGGTTGTTGCATTTCCGCATGATCTATGAAGCTGTTTTTTTTTTTTTTGATAACTGACATATAGATTTAACAGCATCTTACATGTAGAATCTTACAGGTCTCCCAGGAAATGGAAGAAAGTGCCGTATGGTAGGGGCACTGATCAAGCTGCCTATGAATTGCAGCATTACTAGTGAACACAGTGGATACAGAATCAGAGTTGTAGGCCTGATGAGCTAACGAGTGAGCCGTGGAGTTCATTGTCCTTGGTATTTTGTGAACCTTAAAATCTGCATCCTTCCTAGTTACTCCCTCCGTCCCCAAAAAAAAAATGCAATTCTTGCTTCCCGAGGAGTCAACCGATTTTTACTTTGACCAAAATTCTAAAAAACATACTAACATTTACAATATAAAATAAGTATCAATAGATTAATGATAGAATATATTTTCATAATAATTCTTAGTTGAGACATAAATGTTAATACTAATCACTATAAATTTAGTCAAACTTTAGCAAATTTGATCGGCACGATTCTCATAATTGCATTTTTTTTTGGACGGAGGGAGTAGCAAGAAGGTAGCAGTCATGCTTTTGATGCTCCAATGAGGCGGATTGGAAAGATCAGAGGAATTGTAGTAGTTTGCCATGATCTGGCTGTCTGTGAAGAAGTTGAAGAGCTGGTATTTAGTCTCTGTACCACCAAAGCATCTGAAGAGGCTGCAATTTCCACTGAATTTTCTATTGTACTGTATGTGTTTTAAGATGGTCAATGGGTTATCTATCTATTGTATGAAAAGAGCATCTAGTAGTGCTGAAATTTTCTCCTGAGTTGTAAATAAATAGCAGCCATCTTAAAATATGAAACATTTTGTTTGCACATTATCTGGACTTCAATTAAAAAGGTTATTCTTTATGAAATGATGTCTCTTCTGAAGGGAAACGAGAGAAGCTTTTTCTGGCAGCTACATCTAAGAGTTGATGACTGAGAGCCACTTTTTTTTTTTTACTTGCCACTTGCAATTGTGCTCTCCACTTCTACAAAGTCGACTGTATTGTGGTTCTGACTATAATAGCTGAACAAAATATGTACCTTGATTGATGCATACTGTGATGTTCCCAAAGAAAAATCATGGTTTGTAATTTTTAAACCTGGCACTGTTGCTTACCATCTTTTGTTGGGGAAATTATCAATATGTCTGAATGTAATGCACAAAGCCCCTTCAGCACTTCTATAGTCATTAATAGATCAGATACTTGTATCCACTACTGTAGTTACTCCGCTTCTTAGTTTATATAACAGTTAGTTCAGTTCCTACCAAAGATATTCTAGTTTCTACTCCCTCAGTTCCAAATTATAAGTCGTTTTGACTTTTTTGGTTCATCAATTTTGTTATGTATCTAGATATAATATTATATATCTAGATGCGTAGTAAAATGGATGTATCAAAAAAGTCAAAGTGACTTATAATTTGGAATGGAGGGAGTAGTTGTTTTTCCAACCAACTTAGTAGACTAAGCAACTCCATGGCCCTTGTCAATTTATAACTGCTGGGTTTTTTTTTTCATAACAGTGTCCTATGCATAACTTGCAAAGAGGGAGCCAGATATGCAAGTTTTTCCTAGACACCTTTTTCTTCTGTAGGACCTACACAGTAAGCATGTAGCCTTGTGTTGGTCCTGCGTTTAAAATTTTGAATTTGGGCGTTTGGGAGCAAAAGAGGCCTCTAGTACCATTTGTATATAAGCTGTGCTATGTAACTGTACCTCTTCAGATACAAGAAAGAAGGGGAAGGGGGCAGCAGAGTGAAATTCGAAATTCGAAACAGGCACTGCCTCTGTTACCAAGTCTTGTCTGAGCAATATTCTGGAGCTTGCACCAGCCTTCCAACACAGCAGCCTGATTCCTCACTGCAAGTAAGTTCCTATGTCGATTATTCTGTTTTTCATCCCTCCATTCAGACTTTGCTTGAACTATCTCTTTTTTTTTACAGAAATCTTTTTCCTTCTTAAACCTGATTCCTTCCTCTTCTCCTCAGTCTGGGTATCAGGCAGATGACGAATTTAGCCTGGGATCAGTCGGTGATCCTAGCAATCATTCAACAGCAGAAGTGAGCAAGGCTTCATGGCCTTTTATAGCTACTAGTGGACAGGCACGTGCGGCACGCACGTGTCTACCAAAAACAAAAATCTTTTATAACAGCGAAATAACAAAACATACATAAATAGTTCATAATTGCACAACAATATATGCATATTCACAGTGCAACTGTACCGCAATTTGTAAATTTTTGTTACATGTACCAACCGGCTTTGTTTCAATTTCACCTCTCAATTCTATCTAAACAAGAGCCATTACTATTGTTGTATGCCACTTTTTT